TTTTTTGTACAAATAATGCAATCAACTAAGGAATTCTAATTACTATACCAATCATGAGTTTATAGGCATGTTAAAACCCTGCCATTTTATGTCAGGCTGAAGGAGTCCTGGTTGGCAGCACAGCAGGAGTGTCAAAGCTGGCAGGAGGACCCAAGGGCTCCTGATTATCACCTCCACCTTCTCTTCCAAAGTCTTGGCTACTATAGATAAAACCCATAGTACTTCAGACAAATCGGCACATAATCAAACCCCAAATGTGCATCAGGGTGAAACTTTCCAAAAGGGGTTGTGAGATCTATGCAATCTAGGAAACTGTCTGGGTATCTAAGCATTCCCAAAATTTCTGCCACAGTCAGCAAGTTTTTGAAGGTTCTGTGACATTAGAACCCAAGTGGGCTTTGGTGTACCCAAGGCTCCCTGGGGCCCAGACAGCTTGACAGTCTCAATTCTGATTTAGCCAAATCTACTTATTGACTTAAAATCGAGAACAAACTAACCTAGGTTTTGTGTTAATATCCACAACTTTATGTATAGGTTTTTCTGTTATGATTATTTACCTAATGCATAGAGAGGAATCATCATCTAGTATGATGCTTAGTAAGTTGGTCTCACTAGAAACTCAGTTCTGAAGAGGGAAGAGATATGGGAACATATGTATATGTATAACTGATTCACTTTGTTATAAAGCAGAAACTAACACACCATTGTAAAGCAATTATACTCCAATAAAGATGTTAAAAAGAAACTCAGTTCTGTTACCGGGGAATAACAGGGGAAGATGGTCCAGAAAACTCTGAACTGTGGCATTAGGCCTAGATTTGAATCTAAGCTATTGCCTGAAAAAGTTACTTAATCTCTTGGGAGCATAGTTTCCTCAGTTGGAAAAAGGAGAAAATACTGTGGATTAAAATAAAGGGTATTTTGACTACAATAAGTGGACAAAAAATGGCACCCATCATCATCATCATTATTATTATTTACTATTAGCATATTTTTATGCTGAGAGTTAATACTGTTTTAATTATGCTTTCAAATTTCTTAGAAGAAAGGCATCATCCTTGGCAAGTATCACAAATAAAATTTACGTAGGAAGAAAGTTGATTTACATAATCATCTAATCAGTTGATTATTACTTCCTTTTGAGAACTTTCACAATAGCTACAGTGAAATCCAGAGATAAATACTGTGCCCTGTGATTATGTGAATTTGAATATAATGCAGTCAGAATATGCTTCCCATCCTCTTCAACAAACTTATCTTGGTCATTATATTAATCTCAACACTGAGATTTATGCGACTTAGTTTTTTATACTACCACTACAGCATCATAGAAGGATTTTATTATATATTATTTTTTAATTTATATTTTATTTATTATCACTTTTAAAAATTTTCTTGCCACATCACGCAACATGTAGGATCTTAGTTCCCCAACCGGGGATCGAACCTGTGCCCTCCAGCAGTGGAAGCTCAGAGTCTTAACCACTGGACTGCCAGGGAAGTCCCGATTTTATTATATTTTACATTTGGATGTCATCACTGTGACGGTCTTTGGATGTGTCCCTTTGGCCAGGCTACAGTCCCTAGTTATTCCATCAAACACTAATCTAGGTGTTGCTGTGAAGGTATTTCATAGATGTGATTAAAGTCTACAGTCAGTCCACATTAACTAAGAGATTATCCTAGATAATCTGAGTGGGTCTGATTCAACCAGTTGAAAGGTCAAAACCAGAACTGAGGCTTTTCTGAGGAAAAAGAAATTCCACCTGTGGACAGCAAGCTTCAGTTTGTGCCTGTGATTCCCAGCCTGTCCTGCATGCCAGTCTGCCCTCTGGCCTTTAGGTCTGCCCAGCCAGCCCCACAATCATGTAAGCCAATTCTTGCAATAAATCTCTTAATAAATATCTTCTACTAGTTCTGCTTCCCTGGGTTAAATGCTGAGATAGCCATGAAATTTTTGTTTCTTTTTGCATTAAATCTAATTGACTGCACTTTGACATAGAAGGTAGAAACTTCTCCTAAAGGTTCTCTTTATTATGAATGAGCTGAGTGGGGTTAATTATTTTCATGATAGATGTGAAAATGCTTTTAATTCAACAGGTTCCTCTATTTTGCTATTTCTTTCTTACCTTTCCATTTCAGAAAGAACGATCAGATGTATAATAGATTCAATAACAACCTTCTTTTGTAAATCAACCTTTTATAATTTAAAAATAAATATATTTAGCTATTGCATATAAGTGAAAAAGAGAAAATAAAACCCTCATGTCTAATTGGCAAAAAAGTTGAAACTCATATAAAAATAAATATTTCCTTAAGATTTAAAAGTAGGTTTTAGAAAGGCCTTAGATTTTAGAAAAGGAAGTGCAATAAGAAATCATTTCATCAAGATAGAGGCAAACATTGTCACTGCTTTGCCAGTGACAATCTAATTTCAAATGACTTAGCAGGAAAATTTTTATAACTCTCCTAGACAGAATGTCTTAAAACTGTCTCTTAATACTGATAGTCTTTTGCCAAGTTTCATTTCATCCTTAATTACTCTGAGAATTTCTAAAACTAGAATACACATACAGGCTTTAAAAGCTAATTTGAAAATAAAAACCCAAAGGAAGCAGGATTTGAAACTAAACTCAGATTTTAATTTAACAAAAAGTATCATTCATGACAATTTTTTCTAAGATAAATGAAGCAGTCCTTTTAAAAAAACTTCACTTTTAGAAATGTTAAACATTTATTCATTTTCTTATTGGGAGCTCTTTTCCTGGTTGTAATAAGAATATGCACAAATAATCATACATTTTGATTTTGAATATTGCAACCCAAAATTCAAAGAGGTTTTTTCATATAGGTTAGGTACTATTGTAAAATAAATTAATTTAAATTACAAAGGACTAGTACCAATATATATCTAAGAACTGTATTACCATTTACTTGTAATAACAAACATGTGCTTCGACGTTTTCATTTATTATTATAAAAATCGAGTTTTCAATGAAGACTATGGTTGTGAAAATAAATTTGAATTAAACAGTCCTTTAAACATAAACTAAAAATCATGGAAGAGTAAAATGTCAAGCAAGTGAACATTTTTCCTGTGATATATACATAACTATTGTCATGTAAACAAAAGCAAAGATCAAGATTAAGTTAAATATCCTTGTCAGCAACTGAAATACATAGATTAAAATGGTTATTTTACGTTCTTCATGCTTCCATTGAACACAGCTGGCATAAGCACAGCAATAGGAATTGGATGAATCTTTGCATTCCCCTCATACGCTTTGGGAGGATACGTACAATAAAGATACCTCTCTATGAGAAAAGAAAATATTAGAGGAATCAGACTCCTGAAAATCATGACTTTCAAATATTAAGTCACCTTTTTTGCTCTTCTGTGAAACTACATGGTTTATCAGAATTTTGCCAGTTCAAAGACGGTAAAGCTGACACTGGTGTGATCCAGCACTAATACGAGTGGCAGCAAATTAGGCACAATTACAGGCTTTCCTCTCAATGCGCATTATCCATGCACTAGGAGATAATGGCTTCCAACACAAAACAAACATTTTTTGGATAAAACAGACAATATTTAAGTGGATATATTTTCCACAGGAGTGTTTCTTTGAAGTATGCCCCAGAGACCACTTGAATCAGCATCAGGCCAAATACTCAACAAAATAAAAGTGTGCATTTGTGGGCCCAATCTCAGACCCTCTGGGGGCCCTGGGGATCTGTACTGTTAACAAGCCCCCCGGGAATACTTAGACACAAATTCATATGAAAGTTGGAATGTCACTCTTGCAGACTATTGGGGATTTCTTTTGACTCTTTCTTTGACCACAAATATTTCATTATCTCTTTCCTGCTTCTTACTTATTCACCAGAAGGAAAAACAAAACCAAAAACATTTCTGATTTTGTCAGCCAGTGGTGACAACTAGTAGTGGTATTTTTTTTCCCTCAGACAAATGTAGGAGAATAGGCAACATACGATACTGCACCTAAATTTTTCAAAGGTACACCACAGTACTTTTTTTTTTAAAGCTTTCAAAATGTATACATGATAAAAACGTTCAAAATGGTTTGTAAACTGTCATCTGATCAAGACGATCCAGTGTAAAGAGAACTGCTATTCAGTGTGGTTGCTGAATTCTCACAAAGGCCCCTCACGGTTGTCTTTCACAAACACTGAGCCTCTTAGCAGGCACCCCAGAGCTCTCACCAAACGGTGCACTGTCTACCAGGCAGCACTAAAGTACCTAAGGATTGCTCATAAAAACAGGACAAAGAAAACAAAAGCTCAGTTTCAGCTCCAACCACAAAAGGAGTCTCAAGACCTACGGCCAATATGTAAGATGAATACAGATCATGCTGACTTTCCTCAGAGAAAGTCTAATTTCAAATATACTTATTAATATCTGCCTGAGATCTAGTTTATATTGGAAGTGGAAAGCATGATACACTTCAATGTGCTACTAATATCTACTACAGTGTTTAAGTTCTGTAAGATCCCTATGGATAAAAGCAATTTTGCCTGTGAATAATATAAATTAGAAACCAAAGAGGTAGGCAAGTATCATCAGAAGATGATCTCAAAACAACATGTTGAATAACATGCTTGAATCCCAAAAGAGAAGTTAATTGGAAAATGAGTTCCAATACCATGACAACCGCCTCAAGAGCAGGGTTTCCCAGGTCTTTCATGATGACATCCACCTTCCAAAGTCCTGATTCCTGATATGGTGCCATATGCTCTTCAGATATTCAATTTTAAGAAACATCTAATGAAGTAAAATGTAAAAAAATAATACTGGAGACAAAAGAGTGAAGTTGATATCAGCTGGGCTCTTTAAAAATCTCTACTCTCGGGCTCCCCTGGTGGCGCAGTGGTTGAGAGTCCACCTGCCGATGCAGGGGACACGGGTTCGTGCCCTGGTCTGGGAAGATCCCACATGCCGCGGAGTGGCTGGGCCCATGAGCCATGGCCGCTGAGCCTGCACGTCCGGGGCCTGTGCTCCGCAACGGGAGAGGCCACAACAGTGAGAGGCCCGCGTACCGCAGGGAAAAAAAAAAAAATCTCTACTCTCACATTAGAGTTGGACAAGACCTTGAAGATTCATCTAGTCCAACTCTCTGGTTGTACAACTGAAGAAAAGTGGCTAATTTCCCACTGGTCACAAAGCACTATAATTCTGAAAACATGCTATAAATCCAAAAAATGTTCAAGGTTAACTTGCCTATTTATAAAGCCCATGATGTAGCCAAGAGGCTACACTTTCAGCACTTATGGCCATAGTCTGCAGCTCCATCCCCGGGGGATATTTTATAACGTGTTCTCATGATTAGAGAAAGAAGGGCACCAAAGGCCCTGGTTGCACCTGGGGTGGGGGAGAGGCAGAACATCATCAAGAGATAAATAATCTGAAACCCCAGACCTGCCTTAATGAAAACTTGCTCTAGGCTCAGACTGGGGCTTATCTTCACCTCTTTACAGGAGACACACCTCTGAGCACATTCACAGTCTTCAATAGCCATCTCTGCTCTGGGCAAGCATTGGGGCAACAATGCTGTTCTGCCCAGAACATTGAGAAACACATCTGGACAACTGGTAACATCTAAACCCACAGGGCAAAGACCTATATACAGCTGTATTTAACTTCTCAGTCATTGTCACTTGTTTTGCAAACCAAAAAATTGCCCTTATTTCCTTATACCCTTACTTACCTAAGATTTTTAGTTCCGCTCTAAAAAGGTAGTTATAAATGATTTTATTTTTTCTTTTCTATTTTCCAGACTTTCTGTAATGGTTTCACATTTCTTTTGGTAATACAAAAAATGAAGCTATTTTTAAAAAGAAGGTTTTAGTCTAAAAGAAAATGAAAGGATACACATAGTTCCCTCTTGACTCTGAAACGTCCAAACCTGAACCTGAACGAGGTGTCCGTGTGGTACAGTAGAAATGCAGTCTCAGGACTTGGACAGAGTTTTGGATCCCAGCTCTACCACGAACCTTGGGCAGGGTTTTAGTCTCTCTGAGACTTGCCTTCTTCATCTGCAAAAAGGAAGAAATAATACTTCCCTCACAGGATGCTGTGAGGATAAAATGATGCACAGGGCCTGGCACATGGCAGACGTCTAGTAAATGGTGCCCTTCTCCCCACTGGACTCAGAGAATCCTTGGGTAAAAGGAATCGCCACAGCCCGCACCAGCCACAGCCTCACTGCATCCCACTGAAATTCGCAAGGGTGCTCTATCTCAACTCTGCCCTACCGCTCTACAGAATCACTATTGTGCTTAGAAAAAGTTCTTCATTTTTATGTTCCCTCCTTTAAAACTGTACGTACAGACAAAACATTTTTAAAAAACTATCTTCCTAGAAATAATGCAATGTTTTCTGAAGCACAACATGTCATGTATAAAAACAATTCTGAAAAACATGACTGAATTAGTCTGTACATTGTTTCTTAAAGTGCACCAAAGTAAATATTCATGACCTTTAGAATGTCACTAACCCCCTTGGGTTATTTTTTTAAATAAAACTAAATATTTATCTACTGAGATGTATGTGGTTTTTGGCTCCAATGTGATGGCAAAAAGCAGCAGTGTCTTCCAGAAAAAAATAATTGATAAAACTCGACAAAGCATCTTAGCAGCATACAGAATAGCTACAATTCACTGTAACTGCAGGCTCAATAAAGCACAATCCTGATTCCTACTAGAAAAACAAAATCAATCAAAGGAACAGAAAACCATCTCCCCACCCTAAGTCAAGGATTTCTCTTGAACCCTGGAGGTAACACGTGTGATCACTTCCCTATTGTGTATCCTTGGTAACAGACTTATAACTAATCACCATTCTTTCTTCACACTGCACACGCACACACACAAACACACACACACACACACACCCCCTATGAAAAACAATATAGTTTAAGTGGAGAAGCCACAAGAAAAAAATTCGAAGTCAGATAAAGAACAACCATCACCCAAAACGTCAGGCAGTTCCAATATTCACACCACCGTCCGATGTTCCCCACACACGTAGACAGCACTGGGGCGTATCCGTCGCCTTGTGTGGCCAGGGAGCCGCGGCAAAAACTTGAGGGACTTAGGCATCATGTCCAGGCAGGCGTCATGGAATTTCTTAATCCTCCAGTAGTAAATCAGTGGGTTCAATGCAGACTTGAGGTAGCAGAGCCAGAGTAGCCAGGTGCTAATCTCAAAAAAGTTGTGTTGATAGTAAAAGTGCTTGCTGAATGTCGCCACAAGGCTGTAAGTGGTGAATGGGGCCCAGCAGAAAATGAAGACAGCAAAGAGAATCAAAATGGTTGTGAAGGCACGTGTTTTAAAGCCCATGTCAATGCTCATCTGGAAGGGTCTCTGTAGACTCATGAGACCCAGTTTGCTGGCCTGGCTGAGGCATATACCTTCAGGGTAGCTATGGATCCTCAAGGCATTGTGCCGAAGGGTATTGAGTATGCCCATAAACGAATACAGTATCACCAGAAAGGGTAGGAAGAAAGAAATGAGAGAAATCAAAATCACATAAGCCTGGTAACCTGGATTGGTTGTGTACCCAAACACACACTGCGGGGCTCGGGAAGGTATCTGCAGGTCAGGGTTTCCTACTGCCAAAGGAAAAGCTACACAAAAAGAAGTTGCCCAAGAAACTGCAATGAGAACCTTAGCCCTATATGGATTCAGCTTATCCTGCCTCTGGACTATAATAAGAAACCTATCGATGCTAATGATGAGCAGGATGGCTACTCCCTCTATCACAAACAACCAGAAAAACATGGCAGATACCCTACAGAAGAATTTCCCAAAAATCCATCTGGTGGTAAGAATGGTGACCAAGGCAAAGGGCATGTTCAGAACTGCAAGCAACATGTCTGCAAAAGCCAGGCTGGCCAGGAGGATGTTAATGGCGGAGCGCATGGCAGCTTTTTGGTAAACCATGAGGCACACAACCAAGTTCCCAAGAAAAGACACAAACAGAATAAATATCATTATAGCAGAAAGGATGATCTGGAGAGGCAAGTTTAGGCTCTTTAAAACCGCTGGTGTTGGGGGCACAGCTGTACTATTCAGTGTCAAGGAACTCATCCCGGTGGGAGCCATGGTTTCAAAACTGTATCTAAGCAGCGAACCCATGTCGGGATGCTGGAATGGTGGAGGGACCGTAATATTCATGTTGGTGTTTTCATAAACTACGAATGTTGTGTTGGATGCCCCAGTATGGGACGCAGTCAACACTGCAGAGAATACCATGGTTTCAGCAGGATGGAAGGCGCCGGCAGAGATGTAGGTGTTCTTCAAGGATTTCAACACAGAGCAGCAGTATCATGTTTCACTGATGGGCTTGGAAACACACTCTGGAAAACGCACAAAGACTTCCATCTTCCATAGGAGACTTTTTGCCTGAAAACAAGCCCAAAACACAAAAAAATGAATGGGAATGAGTTTTGTAAATAACATTTGACTTCTTACTTTTCATCATGAAGGACCAGTTTTCTGCTTTTTTTAACCCTTTAAAAACATTTAAGTCTCTAGCCTAGTCATCACTAAAGTACTGTAGTTCTGTTGTTTCATTTTTAGTCAACTACAATGGAAATTTCATGACATTCATGTATAAAGTGTAAGTGAAAAGAATGAAAATGTATTACTGCCTTAAAGGCAAAAATTATAACTTTACAGTTAATTTTTCTTTTAAATTTCCAGGAGCAGCATAGCCTTTCCACAGTCACTATTAATACAGATTTTATTAATAATGGTTCTCCTGAGAGTATTCCTGATAGATCTTTGGTACAGGTTCATATTCCATTTTTACATTAGCACAAAACTAGTTGGCAAAGAACCTTGAAATCAGTATCCTATTTAACACATGATAATCAGACACTTTTGCTTTAACCCTTTCACAAGTAGGCACTAGGTTATTTCCAGTGAAGGGTCTGAAACAGTTTCCTGGCTTTCTATTTTATTTGTAAGTGTTTCTTCCCAGAAATCCCACCACATAACTACTGGAGAAGTTATTCAAGAAGAGAAGAAAAATTATCTGTAAAACGTCTTGGTCATATTTTTAAGACTTCCTTTCTTTTCTAAAGCTCTCTTTGCTTCTCCTATTCTCTCTTCTTTCCCATGCACCCATTTCCACCCTTTATTTTCTGATACAAATACTCCTACCTTCTCAATTTCTTCTCCCTAAGCCTTATATGTCAGCAACTTGATAGATGTCAACCAAGAAATAAAGATGGGGATTCTAAAGAAGATGACTAGGAAAATATTCAGGCGTGAATAATGCATTCTAGAAAACATTTCGTTTTCTTGCTCCAAAAAGTTTATCACCTTTCTCTTATCCTAACCCCCAACTTCTTAATTTCTGTGACCCTGGAGTTCTCTGTAAAGGACTTCCTTAATCTACTATCTTCCTAACCCACTTCTGTTATGTAGGTTCTTACTTCTTTACTGGAGAGGTAGCTTTAATCTCTTTAATTAGAAAGAACTGTCTTTGGATTTCTGAGTAGATTCCTTTAATAAATCCCTAAGATTGGGGGGGTGCACAGTAGTTTAAGACAATGCTGTAATTTTCTCATTATTTAAATTTGCAATTACTCATTGATCTTAGGGGTAAATGCTAAAAGTTCATTTATTCATTTCCTATAGTATTGAGGGTAGAAGCATCCCATTTACGAGACCCAAGATCCAGCACTGTAGTCAATTCACGGGCTCTCTACCATACTCGTATCTACAATCCCCAATTTGTGGTCCAGGGCTAACCTTATGAAGAAGGAGAATATTCATCTGTTTGTTCAAAATATTAACTGTACTATACACTTTCACTGTTATAGCTTAATTTCTTTGTCTCTACTATATGTTATCCATCCTCACATGTTCACTTTGAAATGAAAAACATACCTGGATAAGATGCCCCACTAATCCAGTGACTCCCAAACTTTATTAACCACAAAGGGCCAATGGAAAAAGGGGCAGTGGTAGCTTTACACCATAATCACCACAAGTCTCTTTATAACTACCTAAATATACATACAAATAAGAATAAAGACTGTGCTTACTACATAAATCAGCCTCAATACGATTCTATCTCTAGAGAAAAATTATAAATGTGTACCTTAGGCAAATGTGTATATTAAGTCTAAGGTAACAGTGATAACTGTGCTTGACCAAGTAAACCAACATATCCATCCTGAAGGTAGCACACACTTTAAAACACTTAGTTTTCTCAACCATGTTGAGGAACTAAAACAAAAAATGGAACGGAGCCAAAACAAAACCATAATTTGAAAGATGCTTTTTAAGCTTGTTACATGTGTATATATAGTCACAACATTTTACTGCCATTGTAAAAACTTCTAACTCAAGTCACTCAATTATTCATCCATCAAATATTTATTTCAGAGCCTACTATGAGCCAGGCACTGGAGAGACAGTGATGAACAAATGGTTCCTGGAATTCTGGTTAAACAGGACCGAACCACCACCTCAAAATTACACTGAAATGACAGTAAAGGGATTTTTAAAAATAAAATGCACAACTCAAAAGGACAAGAAGTATGAATGAAAGATATATCAATAGATAAGAGATTTTTTTTAATGTTTCAAAGCAAAAGGCAGATGGTGGTGTGGTAACTGAACAAAGTAGAACAGAGAATTTCTTATCTTCAATACTTACACAGAAATATGCTTAGAAGAAGCTGAAACACCCTGTAGATTCCCCAGAGAAGCTCTGGATTAGGAGGTACCAGTTACCACAGTAAGTGTAGGTGTGGCTGAAAACTGGGAAATTGAAAAATCTATACACAGAGCCATCGGAACCCCACTCCAGGCTCGGGGGTCTTCTCCTCCAGCAACCACATGAAAGCACGTACTCCTGTGCCGGTAGCCCAAGTCGCTGGCACAACTGAACCTGATAAGCACTAAACTTTAGCATATTGGTGCAGGGCTGAACACAGCAGGACTGGATGAACGTCTGCACATTCAGTATGAGAACCTAGCCCCCATCTCCACCCTGTTCCCAGACAGCCAGCAGCCAGGCATATGCTACCGTGCAGGACTGAAGGACTTGTCATTTCCAGTAACTTAAAAAGTCCTAGAGGAAAAAATTCTAGATACTAACACTTGATGGTGTCCCAAGAAACATGCCAGCTTGGTGCCCAGTTATCCTCGATACTGAAGCCCACCCACTATCAAGGCCAACCCACACACACAGAGCTTCCAATCAGTTTTTCAGTGCTCATTAAATAGAAATGGTAAATTTCCCAAATATATAAAGAATCTATAAAAGGATTAAACAAAAGCAATGTTGTAGTTAAACATTAAGGAAAAGAACTGGAATTTCTAATAACAGGGAACGTAACATACATGAAGTTAATAATGCCTTTGCCCTGGTATCTGTACATGCTCTTCATTCACTGTACTCCTGGCTACCAGAATAGAAATATTCTCTGGCCTTTCTTTTCTCACTGCAAAGTGTAATAACCAAAGCAGAGCTTTTGAATACTCATTGTAACTATGTTGAAAGATTTTTTCCTCTGAGGTATTCTCATCAAATACCATTGTGACCTGCAGTTTCTTTGAATTTCACAGAAGACTAAATAAAAGCTTTATACTTAAAATTTGTACTTCCACAGGAAATGGGACAGTAGCAACATAAGAACAGTAGAAAATTAGCTCAGGTCAGTAATACTTGCTTAACAGTCCTAATGTTTAATCTAGGCTAGTCTTTATTTGCCATTTGTCAGAAACTCTCGTTACATATTCTAAGAAAAAATTAAAATTGTATGTGAAGGTTTATATATATATATATATATTCATACACACACCTCACGTGTATGTACACACGTAAAACTCACGTATGGCAGAAGTGATTGAATTTATGATTCTTTCTCTTGTCTTATAGCATCTACAGAAACAACACTGGGGCAATCAGATTAATGACACAAGTGTTTTATGTTTGGGGTACGCCAGAATTTCACAATTACTGGGGCTTCACAGGCTGGAATGGGCAGTGGAGGTTGTAGAATTCCCCTGGTATTCATCCTTTAGTCTTATCTGCAATTCCAGTGCTTTAGATATTTGTTTCAATTCTCTGAAAAAAGTGTATGCTCCTAAAAGGCAGAGACTGATTTTATAAATCTCACTGTCCCCTATGACTACTATGCTTTGCACACAGCCAATGCATATATGGTAAATTATATTTATTTGCATTATGCTTTGTCAGATCAGAGAATTTCTTCTTTACTCATTTTAATATTTATTTATACATTATATGTACATAATTTTGCTTAAAAAATTATCAAGAGTTTTTCAATGACAGTCAAATCCTGTACTACCCTTCACCATTCCACTTGTTCTTAGAGGCAGTCATTTTTAATTATTTTAAAGGTTTTTATCAAAAGTACTTATTCTTTATATATCTAAATAATATGAAGAAATTGCTTTTTGATTTGATTTATCAATATTGTATATTATGTCCTGATTTCCTGTTAGGATAAGGGTTTAGCTGCCATTGCACCTCCTAACTTACTTCTCATCCCTTCATACTACCAAAATCTTCATTTGAAAATTTTGAATTACAGAAGTTAGTGTTTCTATTAATGTATTTAGGTTAATAGTATATTTACTGATAAGCTAAAATAATGTTTTCTTTCTTGTATACATTTTGGATTTCCTAGAATAAATAATTTACTTTTTATTTTCAATTTTTAAAAATAACTATCAATATTTTTTTACCTGCTCCACCTGAGAGATTTTTTTTTTTGCGGTACACGGGCCTCTCACTGCTGTGGCCTCTCCCACGGAGCACAGGTTCCGGACGCACAGGCCCAGCAGCCATGGCTCACAGGCCCAGCCGCTCCGCGACATGTGGGATCTTCCCGGACCGGGGCATAAACCCGTGTCCCCTGCATCAGCAGGCGGACTCTCAACCACTGCGCCACCAGGGAAGCCCCACCTGAGAGATTTTTATACCTAGAAGTATTATACTTTGGAAGGTCAGATTTATCAACTACATTTTTATCTTGGAGTCATTCTTTTGGCCTCATGTCCCTCCCTGAAGTGATACACTTCTCTCTGTTACAAAGATGCCAGCCAGAAACATCTCTTTACTACCATCTTGGAAATCCTCCTTTCTGCCTTGGGCTCTTGGCTTCCATATTTCCTAGGTCCTTTGTCTTCCACTTCACTGCTTCCTTTCTGTTCAATTCCTTCTTTTCCAGGAACCAATTGCTTTTGAAGGAAGAACACAAGGGAGGTAAATTTTGAGTCCTGTATGTTTGAATAAGTCTTTATTTGTTCATACTAATTGTCTCAGTTTAGAATTCTCAGATGAAAATAATTTTCTCTGAGAATTTTGAAGGTGTTGTTCTACATCAGTGGTTCTCAAAGTTGAGGGTATATAAGAA